GAAGTTTATTAGACTAGGATGGGTGTTATGTTATTGGCTTTGTACTAATATAGGCATAGGAATACGCATTAGCATTCAAATCACTCTATACTTGATGAAAACGCACAAGTTAGTGTATAAATATAGCAACTAGAGACATACTAGTAAATCTTCTTGACTGGCTAATTTGAATAGGTTGTAGTAAAAATGCTTTCATCAAGTAAATAAATTATCTTCCCAATAGGCCTCTCCCTCCAAGGCTTACTGAATGACTAAGACAGATTGTTTTAATCAAGTTACCGAGAGCCATTTAAAAGTATATAACGTTTATCAAGTGGTAAGGCTTAACTTCTGCTGAACGTGGATAGCTTAACTAATACATTTTATACTTATCTACTGGCTATTTTTGGCGTTAATAAACTTACTAATTTCATAGACATTAAAAGCCTTATTCACTGATATTTTAAACATTTTATAAAAATTCTGAAGCCTCTATATTTCGGCATTCATGGCCACTTTAATAGCTGATATTTGAAATTAAATTATGTATTTATCTCTTATTACGTGCATTTCGATGAATTTGAGATTGTGTATATCGGAAAATAAGCGGCGCTGCGCTACAAAATTAGCGTATTTTATTTGAAGTCTAAATCATATTAACTGCTTACCAACTCACAGTATGAGAAGATTTATACTTGAGTTATCTGACATTGGAAAGACTGGTTTTACGTGGAGCAGCAGTATGGACACAATAATCAAATTAAGGAGAGATAGAAAAAAATTATCCATTAATATTTGAAACAGAACAAGCATTTATAAGAAACAGTAAAGGTGTTTTGAGGGTATATATATTCCGTCAACGCGTCAAGTTTCCTTGGAGTTGGTAGATATGAAGACTAAGATGGTGTGTATTTAGGCTAATTCGCAATCTCCTTTAGTTGTGTAATCTTGTCGGGGCTACAGGAAGATGTCTTAGAATAGACCTGGTGCTGCGTCTTCTACCAAATTATTGATGATCATTAGCAGCATCAGACTGCTGATCTTGTACATTATCAGAAGTATCGCCGTCATCGACCCTGAGAGGCTCCATTCTTTACACAGAGTTGCAACTTATCAAGACCTGGGTGCTAAGTTCACTTGGCTTACCTACTAGCACCGAATGGAACATGCATTCTGCTTTATTCATAAAGTGGTTGTCAAATATACTTTAAATAGTGGATTTATATTATACTACCATTTTACACAACCTCTCAAAAGATTATCATATACACACATTAATCCAGCC